GGCCTCAGCAGCTACGACGGTTTCCTGCCATCCATCGTGCGCTTTCAATCGTACGCGCTGGTGATCGTGGCCCGATAGGGAGCTCCACCGAAAGCGGCCAGGATATTTTTTCCCAACCACCTTGTGTTGGGTCCTCGTTTTGAAGAGACAGCGCCCCGCGTCTCCTCCTCCTCTTCTCCTCCTCCTCTTCTCCTCCTCCTCCCCCTCCTCCCTCTTCCCGTCCGCTTCGTCATCGTCTTCGTCATCATCAGCATCATTCCAGCCATCCCGGCACACCCCTCACACGGTTCGTAGCCCCATAATGAGTTCCACCGAAGGCTCCAGTGGCAGGGTCCGCATACGTCAACGCCCCCCAGGACAGCGTTTCGTGGCCCCATGGGGAGCTCCACCGAAGGCTCCAGTGGCAGGGTCCACATGCGTCAGCGCCACCCAGGACAGCGTTTCGTGGCATCGCAGGGAGCCCCATCGCAGGCTCCAGTGGCAGGATCCGTATGCTTCAACGTCACCCAGGACAGCGTTTCGTGGCCCCAAAGGGAGCCCCACCGAAGGCTCCAATGGCATGGTCCGCATGCGTCAACGCCACCCAGGGCAGCGTTTCGTGGCTCTATGGGGGGCTCCACCGAAGGCTCCAGTGGCAGGGTCCGCATGCGTCAACGCCACCCAGGACAGCGCTTCGTGGCCCCATAGGGAGCTCCACCGAAGGCTCCAGTGGCAGGGTCCGCACGCGTCAACGCCACCCAAGACAGCGTTTCGATGGTCCCACAGGGAGCTCCACCGAAGGCTCCAGTGGCAGGGTCCGCATGCGTCACCGCCACCCAGGACAGCGTTTTGTGCCCCTATAGACAGCTCCACCGAAGGCTCCAGTGGCAGGGTCCGCATGCGTCAACACCACCCAGGACAGCGCTTCGTGGCCCCATAGGGAGCTCCACCGAAAGCTCCAATGGCAGGGTCCACATGCGTCAACGTCACCCAGGACAGCGTTTGGTGGCCACATAGGGAGGTCCACTCACTGAAGGCTCCAGTGGCATCGTCCGCTCGCGTCACCGCCACCCATGACAGCGTTTCGTGTCCCATAGGGAGCTCCACCAAGGCCCCAGGGGCACCGTTCGCATGCGTCTCCCCCGCCCAGGACAGCGTTTCGTGGCCCGCTCCACCGAAGGCCCCAGTGGCAGGGTCCACATGTGTCAACGTCATCCAGGACAGCGTTTCGTGGCCCCATGGGGAGCTCCACCGAAGGCTCCAGTGGCAGGGTCCGCACACGTCAACGCCACCCAGGACAGCGTTTCGTGGCTCCATAGGGAGCTCCACCGAAGGCTCCAATGGCAGGGCCCGCATGCGTCAAGGCAACCCAGGAAAACGTTTCGTGTCCCCATAGGGAGCCCACCGAAGTCTCCAGTGGCAGGGTCCGCATGCGTCCCCCCCACACAGGACAGCGTTTCGTGGCCCATAGGGAGCTCCACTGAAGGCCCCAGTGGCAGGGTCCCCATGCGTCACCGCCACCCATGGCAGCGTTTCGTGGCCCCTTGGGGAGCTCCACCGAAGGCCCCAGGGGCACCGTTCGCATGCGTCTCCCCCGCCCAGGACAGCGTTTCTTGGCCCCATAGGGAGCTCCACCGAAGGCCCCAATGACACCGTTCGCATGCGTCTCCCACACCCGGCCCCATGGGGAGCTCCACCGAAAGTGGTACCCACAATGCGGCATTCGCAGCTGCATATCGTTGCGTCCTTCGTCAGGCTAAATTTTTGTTCCCCAACCATCCTGTGGTGTTGGGTCCTCGTTTTGAAGAGACAACGCCCCGCGTCACTCACTCCTCCTCTTCCCTCCTCTTCCCCCTCCTCCCTCCTCCCTGCGTTTCACCCACCCAGTACAGCGTTTCGTGGCCCCACAGGGAGCTCTACCGGAGGCCCCAGTGCCATCGCCCGCATGCGTCACCCACACCCATGTCGGCACACCCCTCACACGTTTCGTGGCCCCAGAGGGATCTCCACCGAAGGCCCCATTGTCACCGCCCGCATGCGTCACCCACACCCATTTCGGCACACCCCTCACACGTTTCGTGGCCACATAGTGGGGTAAACCCTTCCCCGAAGGGGAAGAATGGGGGTTGGAAGAGGAGCCGCCCTAAACCACCTACGCCCAGAGGGCTAGTGGGAGTCTCAATTGCGGTGCCCACAACAGCATATGGTTGGGTCCTTCGCCAGGATTTGTTTTAGTGGGGTTGCCAAGCCAACAGGCGCGTCCAAAGGAGGCAAGGCGGCAGCAGGGAGTCGAGCGCGCGAGGTTCTCTTCTAGCACCTGCGTCGTAGCGGCGGCCTTCACGGGCTGAGCCACCGATGGATCGCTGCGATCATCAGTTTTCCTGACCGCTTGAAGTGATTATCATCGCCCCGTTTGTGCTCTCTTACAATACCCTGTCTTCCATGTTCTCCCTCTTCTCAGTGGGTGGCAATAGTAGGGCGACTAGGGGGCAGGACTTGTCTGCCCACTCTGCTCTTTTGCTGTATGCTCGGGGCGGACATGTCGGCAGTCATTCGTCGATTCGCACCTCCGTGTATGAGGAGGTGGCCTTTGTGAAAGGGTTGCTGTGCTTCCCTCTTCTCTGTTGCTGCGTTCATCTCCTGTCTCCTCTCGGACCGTTTTTTGTCCTTGCCCCTTGCCCTCCCCTTCTTCTTGCTTGGCCTCTCCCCTCAGTGGGCGCAGGAGCAGCTGCACGCTGTCGAGTCGCGTGGGCCAGTGGCTGGTGTTCGCCGCTGGCCTATCGGCAGCACGCTGCGGGCAGCCAGCGCCTTCACAAGGTGCGCGCGAGCGCTTCGCCTGCCTTGCCATTCGTGATCGACTGTCCAGCAGCCAGGCAGAGACCACCGCTCGCATGCGTCCCCGAGCGGCCCCCATCCGCATGTCCCGTGCCCCATCGGTCCCGCGGCGCGCTACCTCCGAGGAGGTGGGCATACCCTGCGTGATTCGCAGCTGCATATGGTTGGACCTCCTCCAGGCTATTGTTTCCTATCTGTCTCTCTATCTTTCTCGTCGTCGTCGCCGTCGTCGTCGTAGTAGTAGTAGTAGTAGTAGTAGTAGTAGTAGTAGTAGTAGAAGTAGTAGTAGCAGTAGTAGTAGTAGTAGTAGTAGTAGTAGTAGTAGTAGTAGTCGTGGTAGTAGCAGTCGTGGTGGTGGCAGTAGTAGTACTAGTAGCAGCAGTAGTAGTAGTAGTAGTAGTAGTAGTAGTAGTAGTAGTAGTAGTAGTAGTAGTAGTAGTAGTAGTAGTAGTAGTAGTATTAGTAGTAGTAGTAGTAGTAGTAGTAGTAGTAGTAGTAGTAGTAGTAGTAGTAGTAGTAGTAGTAGTAGTAGTAGTAGTAGAAGTAGAGTAAAGTAGTGGTAGTCGCAGTCGTTGTCGGAGTCGTAGTAGTAGTAGTAGTAGTAGT